TTCTTTTTCCTCTGAATTGTTTTCAAAATTGATAATGATCAAAATGAAAAATTCCAACTTAAGGAACTTCAGAGTAGTGTAAAAGTGCGCCACTGCTAAATGAAAAAAAAAACAGCAGCAGGCCGATTCATGATGAGAATGCAATGAATTAAATGGATTTCAACAGAATAATTTGAATGAACCCTTGAGTCGAGCGAATTCTTCCTCCAATCGTTTACGCTTCTCTTCAGCGGTTTCATCTTCATTGATAGCCCCCTTCTCGAATTGTTCTTTGATATTCTTCGCCTCAACCTTTAAAAACATACGGTTTCCAGCTGATAAAACTTCGTTAATATTATTTCAGTGCTGCTCATCCAACTTTACTGATTTTAGACAGAATGACTCCAGACTAGATCAGTCTAACCTTATTTGATCCTTACGACTGTAAATTTTATCACTAACTGCTCGGTGAGAGAACTAAGATTGATTAGTATTCTAAAACTTCTTAATTGTTTCAAGGGTTCTGAATCGCTTCATATAGCTTCATATGGCTCTGAATCGCTGAATTCACTGATGAAAAACATTCATAGTTACAAGTTTCGATTACACCGAATGAAATAATTGTTTTTCATACTTTGATTCCTTCCAACTCGATTGGTCTTTCGTGTGCTGCAATTTTTGTCGGCTCCTTCTCGATATTTTTGAATTTGTTCATCAAATTTTTCACCGCGAATGCGTCCTCGTCTTCTGGTTCTTCGGCTGTAAATTCATTCATGAAACTTCCAGTGACATTCTTGCTAATAGCGAATTTCAATGTAAGGTTATAGTGCTAATTCATTTTCAGATGTTTCTGCAAACATTTTCATCATTTTTCTTTCCAGCTATTGAAGAGTTGCGGTAAGATCATGATCTTTTGTATTCTTTCCTTACTAACATTGTCACTATGTATTTATTTTCGAATGGTCATAATTTCGAAGTAATTTGCAATGTCACATCTCTAACATTAACAGTTTCCATCTATTAGATCAGTGGCTCTCATAGGGGAGGGGGGATGAAATTATCCGCTTTGGGTAATTTGGAGGTGTCAAGAAGCAATGGAGAGGTTGGGAAATTGGTATATTGTGCAGTTGTTATGTTATGATAGAGTGCCATTGTGATGGTGTTTTTTA